TTTTTTTTTTTTGGAAGATGATTTTACACCACAAAAAACTCAAAAGAGAAATATCATAAAATTTCTTGTGTAGAAATGTTGAAAGTTTCTTTCTAGATCTACCATCGTTTCGGAGATTAAAGTTTCTCAGTTTTATCGAATGTTGAATGTTAGAATTAAACGACGAAAAATTCGAAAATCCCAAATTCCAACTCCATATTCCGGATTCTAAATTCAATAAAATAGCGAAAACAGCAAAAACGTTGTAAAGAAAAAAAAAAAATGTCAATCTTGCAAGACCATCGTAGATTTGGTCATAAGACAAATTGTTCGGTGTTTTCACGCGCGTCTAAAGTAAAGAAGCGATGTAAAAGTAAAATTTTCGAAAAGAACGAAAATTCACAAGCGCGTCAAAGTTCAACAAGCTTCAAAACGAGAGTTGTACGATCTCTCTTTGTGAAGGTACATCAATTCAAATTTTTCATTGTCATTGTCACTGTACATAGAAACATCACGATCGAAGACATTTGTCCCGCAAATATTGAACGATGGGAACCCAATATTTCAATTAAACAGAACGAAGAAATATTCGTTTCCAACAAGTACATTTACCATTTTGATCTTAGGCTGGGATGAAAATCACAAAAACTCAGCCAAATATCGATCAACGCAGGCAATTTCTTTTATCACTGTCGTTACTTTCGCTCGTAAACGTGGCAAAGAGTCTTCTCTCGGAAGAAAATTGAAATTAAAAAAAGAAAAAGAAAAAGAAGAAGCATTGCCTTAATTAATTTAAATAAATAAGTCTGATCCGAAACGATTCGATCCCTCCACCATAACCGGCAGTGTTTCTTTCGTTATCAATCGCAAAAAATCGGCCGTTTACTCGTAAAGTATAGTAAATCCCCTCTTCCCGTTTAATTTCGAAAACTAATGAAACAAGAAAAATCGGTTTATCGCGAGTGTCGTGCGTCTCACTTTTACAGGCAGGTAAACTGTCGGAAATTATCGATTAAATACCTGGATGATCTTGCACTATCACGGTTAACTGCGTGCTGCTTCGAACACCGATGCATCCAATAATGTATCTACGTACACAATGTCCGCTTGTCATGTGACAATGACATATTAGCACCGAGGTAAAACCTCGGCGCGCAGTGTAAATTCGATAATATTATCTGCCGCTCGTAAAACGAGAGAAAGAAAAAAAAAAAAAAGAAAAGAAAAAAAAGAACAACACGCGCGTGACTATTTTTTTTTTTTTTGCTAATGTTTTTTATCTTTGCTTCTTTTTTTTTTTCACCGTCCATTCGGCGAGGTTTCAACTTTCGGCGAGGCCGAATTATCATACCGTTACAAAGTGAAAAAACGTTGAAGCTTCAAACATTCTCTCTCGTGAATGTTTAACGCGCGGAATGGAAACTACCCCGGTAAAATAATCAAACGTAAATTCAAACGTCGCCGGGCAACGTGACACTGATACAATAAAAAGATTTGAAGTTACGTTTGGCGAACGAGAGGCAGAGGCGAGAGATTTCGTGAAAAATGGTAAAAATTTCGGTTGGCCGTGCGTGACCAGGGTCCGATACAGCGGATCGTTTGCTCGAAAATACTCCCCCCTTTCCCCCCTCCCCGGAATTCCTTCCCATTTTTCAACCTGCTCTTTATGTCTTCCAAACATACACGCCGATTTCTACACAGGCCATTTCGTAGTGGCCTACGTCCATTTTCGGAAAAAAATCAGGCAAGTTTAATATTTAGATTTCTAAACAGATCGTAACTAATATATATTTAAAATCGCCAAGATTTCGTACAGAGAAAATTAGCTAAAGTCTGGTTAATAGAATGATGACAATTTTTATTTTGAAAGTGGCCCAAGTCCATTTCCCGAAAAAAATCGAGCTAGCTGTTTTAATATTTACATTTTTAAACAGGTTGTGACTAATAAATTTAAAATCGCTAAGATTTTAGCTAACAATAATTAATAGAATGATAACAATTTTTATTTTGAAAGTGGCCTAAGTTCATTTTCCGAAAAAAATCGAGCTAGCTGTCTTAATATTTACATTTTTAAACAGGTTGTGACTAATGTATTTAAAGTCGCTAAGATTTCGTACAGAGAAACTTAGCTAACAATAATTAATAAAATGATAATTTTTATTTTAAAAGTGGCTTAAGTCCATGTTCCGAAAAAAATCGAGCTAGCTGTTTTAATATTTACATTTTTAAACAAACTGTAACTAATATATTTAAAATCACCAGGATTTTGAACACAGAAAATTAGCTAAACTCTGGTTAGTAGAATAATAACAATTTTTATTCTGAAAGTGGCTCAAGTCCCATTTTAAGAGTTTGAAACTGATATGAAGTATATCACGCGATAAAATTTTACGAGAGAAGAGCTATATTTTTCTATTATTAAAGTGGTAATGTTAATCAGGATAGTGATTTTTTTTAAAATAATAATAATTCCATTAAATACAGAGGATTTCATTTCAACTAAACTTCTGGAGGACACGGTATTTAGAAGTTTAAAAAATACTAATGGAGAAAGGGTAAACTGGTTAAAAATATGTTGGATGCAATTTTTGAGAACTGAACCATATAAAACATTCTGTAAAACATCAATGAATGAGAATGCAGTATTCAAAAGTCTGGATTTACTATCACGTCAGAGAAGGTCTTTAACAATATTAAACTGACACTACTGTACAAAAATGTAAGACCAATCGCAACACTAAAATACAACGATATAATGGACTTATTGCACTATACCACCTGTACACCATAATTATTTTAAATCTCTCCCATCGCGTACGCAAATTGGAGAAGAATTATAAATTACATTGAATTATAAATATCATATGAACGTAACATCTTTTTCAATAATGAACAAAAGTTGGATACTTTTTAATTTTATAACACAAAATTGCCATATATTTTTTTCTTTTATTTTAAGGGAATTTTATTTCTTTCAAGTTGTGCCCTTTTAAAAAATTAAAACATTTATTTCATTAATTTTGAAAGTGGCTCAAGTCCATCAAAAACGTGTTATTTTCTCAATAGTGCTCGTCATGCTAATTGGGTTGTTAAATCATACACCTTTAGAAACACGAAATCATTATATTACCATATTTTTATATTCACCAAAACGCAAACCATTAAACACATTGGTTTAAAAATAAATGGACTTGGACAACTTTCAAAATAAACAGCTATATATATATATACATTACGATAGTGTGTATACACATATATTACGATCAAACGGATACCGTTCTGGTTTCGATCTCTCGTCGCACATGTTGCAATATTGATCTTGCGCCCGAGACGAGCCGCGAGTGAAGTAAATTCCGAGATACGATTTCCTAACCGGTGAATGTCGAAGGAGGAGTAATTTTCAAGATTATCGTTAACGACCGAGTCCCTAAGACTGCAGAGGAGATCTTCCCTCTACGCAGGGCAAAAATTTTGTCCCATTTTTTTATGAAAAACGCGACGGCAGAACTGCTGGCCTGGCAATGGATTTGAATTCACGAAATCGTTCTTTCCTTTTAAAAAAACAAAAGAAAAAAAAACGAATTTTAGCGTTATATTCTCCTCGAAATTCAAAGTCCTCGTGAAAATGCTTGAAAAATCAATTCCCGATCTCGCTCTTCCGATTCTACGGGTATAGTTAATTTACGCGCCAGGGGGAGGAGGGGGTGCTCCTTTTTCAAAGCGATCGTCATCGGCAAGCTGTCGAAACGCGATTTATATAACGTTGCTTCATCGAGCAATCTTGTTAGTGTGATCGGGTTTTCGCGAAATCTGCAAGTAAATTGAAGAGTTTTCAATCAGACGAGCCAATGGGAAATCCAACGGAAACGATAACGAGCACTTTTGTCAATTATACCGCGCGCGGTATATACAGGGTGAGTCTCGTAACGTGACGACATCAAATAACTCGTAAAATATTTGCGGCACGAAAAAAACGTTTCAGATAGAAGTTGCATAGCTTCCAGCGAGACACCTAGTACTGTAATCAGTTTTGTGTTATTTTGCTTTTTCATCAAGGTACGAAGGTCAGCTTCAATTTTTTAAATGGAACAGTTAATATTTCTTCCCGAATTCGAATAAAGCGTTGAATTCTACATGAAAAAAATCTTTTATGTTAGTTTGCTTTTTTATCAACGTATGAAGGTCACCTTCAATCTTTTTAATGGAACATAAAGCGTTAAATTCTACATGAAAATGTATTACACCAAACGGGGTTTAAAATACATAGTTACCGAGATATTAGCAAAAATATTTTTTCACATTGTATTAAAAAAAGACCGTTAATCTCAGTAACTATGTATTTTAGACGCCATTTAATTGGTGTAATACTGTTTTTTTTTTTTTTTTATGCAGAATTCAACGCTTTATTCGAATTCGGGAAGAAATATTAACTATTCCGTTTTGAAAAATTGAAGGTGACTTTCATAGTTTAATAAAAAAGCAAAATAACATAAAAAATTTTTTATGTAGAATTCAACGCTTTATCCGAATTCGGGGAGAAATATTAACTATTCCGTGTGAAAAATTGAAGGTGACTTTCATATCTTGATAAAAAAAAAAGCAAAATAACATAAAACTGATTACAGTG